ACACTGCTGGTGTGTTTCCATTTTTTGTCATAGGGTGCTGGCAGATTACGGGCCTCCCATTGCTGCTGCCAGCCCGTAATCTGCCATGGGCCCCTGTACCGCCTCTTCATGCTGCTGCCAGGTCCAGAGTGTGTCATGGGTCCCTGTACGGCCTCCCATTGCTGCTGCCAGGAGGCAGCAGGGTCGCAGCAGTGTCAGTGGAGGCAAACGGCCACGGAGTAGAGCACCAGCTCCACTGCAGCCTACCACCACGGCCAGTAGTGGTGCCGGTGTGTGCACGGAGGAAGTAGCAGTCAGCCAGTGAGGAGTAGCGGGGGCAAAGTTTCCTACTCGGCGGTGTGGCAATTTTTCGTCAAGCCGCCCGAGGAAGTAAACGTAGCCGTATGTCGACTATGTGGCCAGAAAGTCAAGCGTGGCCAGGGGGCCCCATGTTGGGACTACAGCGTTGCGTCAGCATATGCAGCGTCGCCATTCGGTGGCCTGGGAAAACCGTGATAAAGATACGGCGGTTCTGCCTGCCCCAGCCCAGGGTTCCATTTTGTCATAGGGTGCTGCAGAGATTACGGGCATCCCATTGCTGCTGCCAGGCCTTAATCTGCCATGGGCCCCTGTACCGCCTCCTCATGCTGCTGCCAGGTCCAGAGTCTGTCATGGGTCCCTGTACGGCCTCCCATTGCTGCTGTCTCCATCGCCACACTCTGCCATGTGCCACTTTCAGGTCTCCTCACACACTGCTGGTGTGTTGAATTTTTTGACATATGGTGCTGGCAGATTACGGGCCTCCCATAGCTGCTGCCAGCCCCTAATCTGCCATGGGCCCCTATACCGCCTCCTCATGCTGCTGCCAGGTCCACAGTCTCTCATGCCATGTGCCACTTTCAGGTCTCCTCACACTGCTGGTGTGTTGAATTTTTTGACATAGGGTGCTGGCAGATTACGGGCCTCCCATAGCTGCTGCCAGGCCCCTAATCTGCCATAGGCCCCTATATACCGCCTCCTCATGCTGCTGCCAAGTCCAGAGTCTGTCATGGGTCCCTGTACGGCCTCCCATTGCTGCTGTCTCCATCGCCACACTCTGCCATGTGCCACTTTGAGGTCTCCTCACACTCCTGCTGGTTTCCATTTTGTCATAGGTTGCTGTATGGCCTCCCATTGCTGTCTGCCTCCACCGCCACACTGTGGCTCCACACTCTGGTTTTGGCCCCGTGACTGCCCAAATGAGTGAAGTGTGCGCGTGATTCTAAGATCGACGGCACTCATCTGCATGTCATACTGACTGACAGTATTATTTCTCTTCCCCAGCAGACTCCAAGGGCATTTAAATTAAAGGTACAGTGTTCTGCACTAATATTAAGTCTCTCTGAAGCCTAGAAACACCCTTTTTTAAGTTAAATTCACAGCGAATATATTTGACTCGAATCGAATATTGTCCACGAATTCGCCGAATCAGTCGAATCAAATTTTTTGAATACTTCGCTCATCTCTAGTTGTGGCATGGTATTCCCATTCAAAATCTTGTAAAAAATAAAACAGTAAATATAAAAGGTTGCGCTTCTTAACCATTTCAATACCCGGGCAATTTTTACACCTTCCTGCCCAGGCCATTTTTCACATTTCAGCGCTCTCACACTTTGAATGACAATTGCACGGTCATACAACATTGTACCCAAACTAAAATTTTTACATTTTCTTCACACAACTAGAGCTTTCTTTTGGTGGTATTTAATCACCGCTGGGGTTTTTATTTTTTTGCTAAATTAACAAAAAAAGACCAAGAATTTTGAAAAAAAACACATTTTTCTTTGTTTCTGTTATAAAAGTTTACAAATAAATAATTGTTCTTCATAAATTTAGGCCAAGATGTATTCTACTACATGTCTTTGGTGAAAATAACCCAAATCAGTATTTATTATTTAGTTTGTAGGAAAGTTATAGAGTTCACAAACTATGGTATAGATCTGAAAATTGATCAATCCTGAAGTACTGACAGCCAATCTAATTTCTTGAGGTCCAAGAATATCAGAACAGTATAGATATCCCCAAATGACCCCTTTTTGCAGAGTAGACAGACCGACGTACTACATAAGAGGCATGGCGAGTTTTTTTGAAGTTGTATTTTTTTTGTCATAATTTTTCGGAAAATGAAAAAATTAAAAAAATAATTTTCCCTATTTTTTTTTTTACATACTGCCCCCAGTGTAGTACAGCGTCATCATATAACTGGCATGGCAGTGAACAGGGACACTGACTGGTGACAGTATGAAAAAAATATATATATATATATTTTTTTTTTATTACATATTTTTTTTTTTTTTTTTAAGATTTGTTTTTCATATTTTACTATGACCAAAGTAGTACAATGTTACCATAGTAACATTGTACTACTTTGGGGAAGTGAGCAGTATTTTTTTTTTTTTTTTTTTTTACACAATTTGCTTATAGCAAAGAATTACGATAAGCTATAAGCAAGCATTTACCTGAATGACATCGATTCATTCAGGTTTTTTTTTTTTTTTTTGTGCTTAGCTGTGATTTGGCCACAGCTAATCACATGACATGTGCATGTGACCTGCTGTGACCATTCACAGCTAGGCACTAGTATACAATGGATAGCATGAATGAAGCCATCCATTGTATACAACTGTCATGTGACCTGCTGTGATTGGTCACAGCAGGTCACATGGTACCGGCAACGGGGGCCGGTACTCAGATCTGTCATCGGCCGTGTCCGAGGTACAAGGTAGGTGACAGATCGTGCCGCTGCGCGGCTCTGCAACCGCGCAAACTGCGCATGTGCGGGAGGACGCCAAATGGCGTACACCCCGGAAAGCTAAATATTTTTGCGGCCGCCGAACGGCTATAGCCGGGCGGCTAATGGTTAAAACCAAATATAGTAATGAAAAAAAATTTTTGTGACAGAAATATTAGTGACAAAAAAAGGATAAATACTATATATAATTCAATTATATATTTAGTGACAAAAATATATAACTTATAAAGTCCAAAATCCGTGTTGAAATGAAGAAACTTATTCGTATCCAACAATAATCAACAATAAGTTGGCGAAGCCTGTGGATGTGATGTCATTACGTTCCCGAGTCACCTGCACATGCGTGTTTGAGGCCGGGTGCGTTTTTTGTCTAGAGTGCACGCTGTCATTGCTGGTGTTGGCTAGGGCACCTTTATTTGTAAGTGCATTACTTTTTTAAATAAAAAAGAAGTCTTTTAAATACTGCACCATGAGTTCTCTATTTTCTTATACCCCATTTGGTCTGGATATCTGAGGAAAAGGACTTTGAGAAGTGGATCCATCTTGCTGAGTGTTCCCTGCAGAGTATTGCTCCTTGAATAGCCAGTGTCATCAACAGAGTATTACATCCTTCCGCACAACATTGCTCCCAGAAAGCGTTTTATGCTGGTTTATAATTTAATCAGCATATCACTCTGGTGAGTTCATTCATTGTATTTGGTGGTGGATTTACACATGGTGATTATTGTTGGATACGAATAAGTTTCTTCATTTCAACACGGATTTTGGACTTTATAATTTATATATTTTTTGTCACAAATATATAATTGAATTATATATAGTATTTATCCTTTTTTTGTCACTAATTTTTTCTGTCACAAATATTTTTGTCACAATATATTTTTTTTCCTTTTTTTTTTCATTACTATATTTGGTTTAAGAAGCGCAACCTTTTATATTTACAATTTTATGCACCTTTTATAGGTTAGGTTTGCAGCTGGTTCATATTTTTTGATTGATGTGATATATATAATATTTTTTTGTGGCGCTTCCCTAAAAATATTTTTTGAAAAAATAAAACAGGTATTCAGGATGTGGCAGTTTCCCCTCCTGAATGCCTGTCAGCCACTCCTGTATCACTTTCAGGAAAGTGATCCACTGCAGACCACTTTTCAGAGTCTACCACAAGTGCAAATGAGCCTTTTGGTCTCATTCACATGGGTGTAAAGTATGTACCTTTGATAAGTGTCATTGAAGCTCTCTGAATACTTTGCAAAGTCAATATCTGAATTTTACATTGACAGCAGACTATGCAGCAGGCTTCTGCTACTCATAAAGATTGTCAAGTGCTCTCGATTTATTTAACCACTTGCCTACCGGGCACTTTCAGCCCCTTCCTGTCCAGGCCAATTTTCAGCTTTCAGAGCTGTCGCACTTTGACAATTGCTCAGTCATGCAACACTGCACCCATATGAAATTTTTATTCATTTTTTTCACACAAATAGCTTTCTGTTGGTGGTATTTAATCACCACTGGGGTTTTTATTTTTTGCACTGTAAATGAAAAAAGAGCAAAAAATTAAAAAAAAAAAAAAAAAAAAAAAAAAAAGGTTTTCTTTGTTTCTATTATAAACTTTTGCAAACAGTTGAGTTTTCTCCTTCACTGATGTGCATTGATGAGGCTGCACTGATAGGCAGCACTGATGGGCACTGATAGTTTTTTTCCCCCCTTATTTTCACCTTGAATCTGCCAGTAAGTCTTGTTTTTTAAAAGAACAAGCTGTGCTGCAAATATAGTAGTTAGGGGGTTGAGACAAGCCATTTACCACTGACAGGGGTGCTTATAATGATACGTTTTTATTTATTTATGTAAAAGCTTTATCCCAAAAGAAAAAAACTGATTGACTCTAACTGATTATAAAGTGTTAGCTTGAGTTTGGCTTCAATGTTTTAGTGTTTCTAAATCTGATAGTACATCTAACACTCCCCTCCCCCCAGACTGACAATGCTGGTGTCCAAAAGTGTCCATGTGCTCCTTTCTCCTGAGTGGAGGCACTGCAATACAAGACGTGTGTTGGTAGATCACCAAGTAAAAACAGAGGAGAAAAAAGCCTAGAAAAGAAAACTAATGCAGCCACCACATCTAATGATTGGTAAACTGCAATCTATTACATTTTTAGTTTTGGGTTTAACCACATCCTGATCACCCTACAGCAGATATACTGCTACAGGGCAGCAGGGGTGCGCAAATTATGTGTATATATACCTGGCCATTCGTGGCCGCGGCTGTCAATCACCAGATCCCGGCCGGTGATTCCCTGCCAGTGCCTAGTGATTACTGAGGACCTACGATGGGGAGGGGGGCTGCTTTATTTACTAACAGCCCTCCTCCCTGTTTACTCGGGCACACTGCTCTGGATGGCTGTGCACATCCACAGCCATCCAGGGCAGTGTGCTTACAGTGAAGCACCAACACACTTCCCTCTAGTAAATCACTCCCAGCACACAGTTAACCCTTTGATCTCCCCTCATAATAACCCCTTCCTGCCCAGTGCCATTAGTACAGTGTCAGTGCTTTTTTTTTTTAGCACTGATCACTGTATTGGTGTCACTGGGGATAGCAGTGACACCAAGTCAGTTCTCCCCAGTGTCAGAATGCCTGCCACAGTACCGCAGTCCTGCTATAACTCGCTGATCGGCGCCATTACTAGTAAAAAAAAAAAAATTCCAATATATATATATACCGCCATTTGTAAATGCTACAACTTTCACGTAAACTAATTAATTTACACGTATTGGGATTTTTTTTTTAGCAAAGACATGTAGCAGAATACATTTTGGCCTAAATTTATGACGAAATTAGATTTTTTTTTTTTACTGGACATGTTTAATAGCAAAAGTCAAAAATATTGTTTTTTTCTCAAAATTGTCAATCTTTTTTTTTTTTTATAGCGCAAAAAAAAAAACGCACAGGCTATCAAATACCACCAAAAGAAGCTAAATTTGTGGTGAAAAAAAGGACTGCGCAATTGTCAGTTAAGGTAACGCAAAAAATGGTCTGGTCAGTGAGGGGGGTTAAATACTCTGGAGGGCAAGTTGTTAAAATATTATTGATTGTTTACTTTTTGTGCGTTATCACTATTTTATATTTATTTTTTTTAATTCTTTAAAATCAAGCTGGTGTCATCAGGGCAAAGTTTAACCACCAGAGAGATCTGTGTGTGTGGACTCTCTTCCCTCTCTCTCCTAGCAACATCAATGGACAAATCAGCAGTAAGGAGGAGAGAACCAGATGTTTCCATGCGACAGGAGATGTGACAGAGTGTGACAGGAGCTAATGGTGACAGGAGAGTGATGTGACAGGAGCTAATGGTGACAGGAGAGTGATGTGACAGGAGCTAATGGTGACAGGAGAGTGATGTGACAGGAGCTAATGGTGACAGGAGAGTGATGTGACAGGAGCTAATGGTGACAGGAGATGTGACAGAGTGTGACAGGAGCTAATGGTGACAGGAGAGTGATGTGACAGGAGCTAATGGTGACAGGAGAGTGATGTGACAGGATCCTGTCAAAAAAACTCCACCTCCGAGAGAGAGCCTGGTCAGTGAAGCCCACAGCTGTGAGAGGGTACAGAGCGTGAGTACTGAGGGATGAATCTACCTACCAGAGTCATCATGGGCAACCCAGAGTGAGCAGATACCCGATCGGAGAGGCCACTGCTACTGTGTCGCCGGGTCTGGTGAGAAGACCTTGTAGCCACTACTTGTTACCACCATTAGAAACTGAGCCATTATGAACTGCCCACAGCCCTAATACTGACTTAGGCTACGTTCACACTAGCCTTGTGTGCAGACGGCAGAGAGGCGTTTGGGAAGCGTTTTTACCGCTTCCCAAACGCCTCTGCCAATTCTGCACATTACAGCACATGGTGCTGTTCTAACAGGAGCGTTTGCGTCGCGTCGCGTTGCGTCGCGGCAAAACGGACGCCTCTGGTCGAGTCAGGAGGCTTTGAAGCCTCCTATTCTCGTCTATGGTGCCGCTCCGCAAACGCCCGGCCGGCGTTTGCGGTGCGGTTGCGACGCGGTTGCGGGGTGTTTGCGGAGCGGTAACACCACTCAAATGCATTATAGGCATTTGTGGGGCGTTATTAACGCTCGGCAAACGCCTAGCAACCGCCGCTAAACCGTGCATGCGGCGTTTGCGGAGCGTTTGCCGAGCGTTAAAAACGCTCCGCAAACACCGGACCAACGCTTGCCAAACGCTATAGGGGCGTTTGGCAAGCGTTGGCAAAACAGCCTAGTGTGAACGAGCCCTTAAGGCCTTATTGATGGTCTTAATGTGAGCCAACGTGTGCTAACGGGCCCCAACATTTAGCTGAAGAGTCAGGACTAAAGACTGCCCCTAACTGTTGTGGCCTGAGGCCTTCTTTTTTTTTTAGATAAAGAGGTACCTCTGAAGAGACGCTGCATGCCAGCTCATTTCTAATGCCTCATACACATAATGAGAATATCGAATGAATGATTGTCTGTTTTTTTTTATTTTTTTGCATGCTAGTCTCATATTGAAAAATTAATAGATTACTAGAGTTACGAAAAATCTCGTACAACGTACAATGTCCCATTATAATGTATTGTAATGTCTTTTTAAAAAGACTGACAAAAATGGATACATTCCAATTAGCAGTTGTCACCATCCTTCATGGTTACGCTGCATCTCTAGGGGACAGTTCATGCGTTTGCGCAGGAACTGCTCTAATATTTCTGATTTCCATCAACAAGCAGAATTGTTGAAAGAAAGATTTATGACAAAATGTTATAATGAACAGGATTTAACTTAGATTGAAAGGGAGAACCTTTTAAATACAACCCCTAGGGAAAAGGATAATAGTAAATTTGAGTGGGCTTTCTCCACTACTTTTTCAACACAACATTAAAGGATCAGAAAAATATTGACTAAACATTGGGATATTATTAAGAATGATAGGATCATAGGTGATAAAATTCTTGATAAACCTCCCATTATATATAAAAAGACAGTAGCTTTGAGATATTTTATAGCCATCAATGTGGTTCAGAAACTTCAGAAAGCATACGTGTTTGGGAATTTGGTCAGTTTCTTTCCCTGTAGAAAATGTAAAGTTTGCAAACTAATGGGGAGAAAACTGTTTAAGAACAAAAGAATTTAGATCTGAAGGGACAAACAAGGTGTATCATATTAATCATTTCATCACATGTTCTACTATTTACTGTATGTAATATACATGTTGAGCTGTTCATGCAATAAGCAATATGTGAGTAGGACGAAAAGGAATTTATATATTAGAATAGGCAAACATACTGACCAACATCAAAAAGGGTTATCAGTACCATAGTTTATCAAAACACTTTGCGGCACACCATCAGAAGGACCCATCATGTTTAAAGGTTATAGGGACACAAGTTATAACTGAATTGGAAAGGAGGTAATAAGATTAGAGGAGCCTCTCAGCTCGAAACGAGATTGATTTTTAATTTAAAAATCTTATGCACCCTATGGTCATAACATTGAATGGGACATCAACTGTTTCTCATTAACAGTTGATAGTGTGGGTTATACTGTAGGGATATCAGGATGCTTGTTATGGCACTTGTAGGGGGTTGCTGAAACACAATATGAGTGGCATTAGTTCTGATTTTATTATATTATTTAGTACAATATTCAATTTTAAATTTGAATTTTATTTGTATTTTATATGTATAAGTATTCTCAATGGGACATGCATTTACACTTTAACCAGTGGAATTTTTATTTATCTTTATTTGATGAATTAATGTGGAAAGTATGAATCTTGAAGCCAGGTGCAATGGTATTTTCTAGGCAGAATTGTTATTTAATCTTTCACCACTGGGGGGGTTAATACTCAGACTATAATGTGGTAGGATTTATATTTCTACCACGGGGGAGTGAGCATTCAGATGATATTGTTATATTATATATACAGTTGCAAGAAAAAAGTATGTGAACCCCTTGGGATTACGTGGAGTTTTGCATGAATTGGGCATAAAATGTGCTCTCTGAACGTCAAGTCACAACAATAGAAGAACACAGTCTGCTGAACATAATACTACACAAACATTAGATGTTGCCATGGTTTAATTGCACATAACATGTAAACATTCACAGTGCAGGGAGGAAAAAGTATGTGAGGCCCTAAGCTTAATGACTTCTCCCAGAGCTAATTGGTGCCAGGAGTGAGCCAACCTTGACTCCAATCAGTGTGATGATATTGGATGTGTTGCTGACAGCTGTCCTGCCCTTAAAAAAACACACAACCTGTTTTGGGTTTACTGGTTTCAAGAAGCACTGTCTGATGTGAACCATGCCTCGCAGAAAAGAGCTCTCAGAAGACCTACGATCAAGAATTGTTGACTTGCATGAAGCTGGAAAGGGTTACAAAAGTATCTCCAAAAAGCTTGATGTTCATGTGTCCACGGTAAGACAGACTGTCTACAAATGGAGAAAGTTTAGCACTGTTGTTACTCTCCCTAGGCATGGTCGTCCTGTAAAAATGACTGCAAGAGCACAGCGCAGAATGCTGCATGAGGTAAAGAAGAATCCCAGAGTGTCAGCTAAAGACCTACAGAAATCTCTGGCACATGCTAACATTTTTGTTGACACATCTACAATAAGGAAAACATTAAACAAGAATGGAGTACATGGAGGACACCACGAGGAAGCCATTGCTGTCCAAAAAGAATATTGCAGCACGTTTGAAGTTTGCAAAAGAGCACCTGGATGTTCCACAGCACTACTGGCAAAATAATACTGTGGACAGATGAAACCAAGATTGAGTTGTTGGGTGCAAAACACACAACACTATGTGTGGAGAAAAAAAGGCAGCAGAACACACCAACATCAAATACTCAAACTGTAAAAACATGGCGGAGGAGATCATCGGTTTGGGGCTGCTTTGCTGCCTCAGGGCCTGGACGGATTGAAAAAAAAAAAAAAAAAAAAAAAAAAAAAAAAAAAAAAAAAAAAAAAAAAAAAAAAAAAAAAAAAAAAAAAAAAAAAAAAAAAAAAAAAAAAAAAAAAAAAAAAAAAAAAAAAAAAAAAAAAAAAAAAAAAAAAAAAAAAAAAAAAAAAAAAAAAAAAAAAAAAAAAAAAAAAAAAAAAAAAAAAAAAAAAAAAAAAAAAAAAAAAAAAAAAAAAAAAAAAAAAAAAAAAAAAAAAAAAAAAAAAAAAAAAAAAAAAAAAAAAAAAAAAAAAAAAAAAAAAAAAAAAAAAAAAAAAAAAAAAAAAAAAAAATAAAAAAAAAAAAAAAAAAAAAAAAAAAAAAAAAAAAAAAAAAAAAAAAAAAAAAAAAAAAAAAAAAAAAAAAAAAAAAAAAAAAAAAAAAAAAAAAAAAAAAAAAAAAAAAAAAAAAAAAAAAAAAAAAAAAAAAAAAAAAAAAAAAAAAAAAAAAAAAAATAAAAAAAAAAAAAAAAAAAAAAAAAATAAAAAAAAAAAAAAAAAAAAAAAAAAAAAAAAAAAAAAAAAAAAAAAAAAAAAAAAAAAAAAAAAAAAAAAAAAAAAAAAAAAAAAAAAAAAAAAAAAAAAAAAAAAAAAAAAAAAAAAAAAAAAAAAAAAAAAAAAAAAAAAAAAAAAAAAAAAAAAAAAAAAAAAAAAAAATAAGTAAAAAAAAAAAAAAAAAAAAAAAAAAAAAAAAAAAAAAA